TCGTTATCAGTTTTACGCTAAGATGTCTGCAAAATCCGCCATTTTCCTTAGACAAGCTATTTGTATAAGACAATGGTGCAGCAGTATTTATATTGAAATTATCTTGATTTTTTGTCAATTTAAAGCTATCAAAGTTACCAACTATCCTGACATATTGACAGATGGAGTCAGTTAGTTCATTTTACCAAAAAAAATCAGTAACTTTGTATATATGAAGATAATATCATGGAACATTCAATGTGACACGTTAGTGCCATTCCATGAAAAGCGGCATATGGTCCCCAAGTAAAAAAATGAGTTTGCCCTAAATGGTGGAATTTTGAATGGGGATCAGAGGTTATGAAGCCTGGCTATACCACAATGCATTAAACAAGGCATAACCAGTTTAAACAAATTCTCTATTCATGCCTTTATTACAAGTATGTCTATTCATAATCACATAATATAATATAAGGTCTGATATGACATTTTTTGTTCGTTCTTAACATAGTGTCAATAAAATGCAGCAGTAGAAAAAAGTACTTGCAAATAAAATAAGAGAATAAGCAATGAATATTTTATGTGAAATTATCCTACCAAAATATGTCTATGAAACCTCAATGAATTAAGATTACATATTTAGATACATCTGCCTAAATAACATCATACCTGATCACGGTTTTAATTTAAAACCGAGGTCTCACCGTCTGGTGTATGCGAAACTTATTTTTAAGTGAATAATATTGCGTTTTATCACGAAACATATCTAATGTACAAATATACATATAATCATATATCATACTACAAAGTTACGCAAGGGAAATTTTCTCATTCAATTTTAACAATTTATGCACAAATGCATTATATATATGTGATTTCGCACATAAAACCCTCAAAACATTTTTAAATGTTACTTCCTTATTGATATAATTTTACTATTAATATGTTCCGCTACTTCAATTTTAACTATCTTTGAATTTGTAAACTAAAATGATATTTTGTCAAAAACATCTTCCTTGAAGTCAACGAGAAATATAACAAGATCTTTGCCAAACGTTTTATTATTCATAATTAATGCATGAATGCAGTTATTTGTTACTTTTTTAAATACCATAATACATTGAACTATCCAAGAAAAGCTGGGTAACAGCTCGTTCTTGTTTCAAGATAAGGCGCCTTCTTTTTGTTGATGGCAACTGTGTTACTTCCTGACTATGTTGTCTTTTTTTCTGACATTTGTCAGCATAATCTACAGTGTGCTTACCAGGGGAAATACCAGCAACAGTTTTCATCTGTTTGATAAAGAGAAGAATATGTACTAAACACGGAAAAGACATTTTCATAAATTAACAAAGTCAACCACGGAACTATATTATATTCGTTATATTTATAAAGATTTTTGACAGGTAATAAGGACGTATATAAGTGGTTATTTGCATATATAATCAATGTCACTTGACATTAATTTGGAGATATATTCAAGAAAAAATAATTAACATAAATTCTTAAAATAACAGCAGTTGGGTTAACAGATAATAAATAGAACACTATTACCCTGTGAAAAGACACCAAACGTGTAGTATTATAAGGAAATGTTAACATAAATAAAAAGTATTTAATTAAATCCATTTTATCATCACTTACCAAGATTGGACTGTGAAGTGACATGGGTATATGTCTTTAAACTGTGCACAGAATAAGAACCAGAAAACTGTAATGAACAAACAGTAATTTTAAAAGCTCTCAACAAAGAGCTTCAAAAAATAAACAAACAAACAAAAAAAAACAATAATTTCAAATAAAAATAGAACTTGCAACTAAATATAACACAAAAAACATTAACAAAGAAAACAAATAAAAAAATCCAGAATGAAAATTCTGGAAACAAAGTGATCCCTCGGAAGCATTAATCACAACAAAATAACATAAGAATTGCAGACTCGGTTTGATTGAGTCTGTACATGAAGGATAATGAATAAGTGCAACATCCCTCACGCCCCCTAGCACCGGCTTGAGCGGTACTCAATTCTCAAGAGCGGTACTCAATTCTCAACACTGTATAGTGTTGGCATCAATGATCCCGAAGGACCAGAAAATATAACAACACTGAAGTCTCAGAATACATCAAGTTGACAACACTTCTGCTAATTAACGGCACTTGTCCAAACCTACACACTGAACCACACTTCAAATTGTCCAACAAAAATCCCAACTTCAAATTGTCCAACAAAAATCCCAGATTTAGTTCTCGCCTTCCAACCCTCCAACCATCGCGTTTAACGTTATTTGGCAGGTCAATATGGACATCAGACTCGCAGGAAGGCCGATTACATTCCTGTCTATTACACATAGATAACTGTCTGTATAATTGTGGTCGATTTCCAAATAATTACGCTCTACAGACACTTTCTTACCCAAAATAGTTTTAGAATATCTGGCTTGTTTGTCGCGAGCAGCCTTTTTAAACATTCGGATGACGTAATGGTCTCGCGATATTGTGTTATCCGTTGACTGGTAGCCAAATTACGATACAAATCGAATGGTTACGATGGAGGCTATGGAATAGCTAGCACGGTAAATGTCGACAGAACACTATATTACCCGAAGCGTATTATGTGGCTCAGACCTTAACAAACTATCTTTTACATTTTATTTAAGAACTATCCTTCAAATTTTATTTATATTAGCGGGAACTATTCATAACTATTTTTGAGTATGCAAAATTACAACTATCTAGTCGCGTTTTGTTCCAGACACTATTTTGCTTTATTTTATATTTTAAATGAAAAATACTCAAATTTGTTTTTACAATAAGCACATTGCCTTTAATACATCGCCTTACGCATGTTGTCTCACTTCTAAATGTGGCTTTTGCTCTCCTATGCGATTTATTTAAAACAATATTTATGGTTCGGTTTTCTTATCTGCTATCGGTCAAAAAGTATGAGAACAATTGAAAGGCAACTTCAACAAAATTTAGATAAAATTCAAAAGTGGGCAACAATAAAAACTCAATATGTTCATTTTTGTCGATTACAGAAACATCATAATGACCCTGAATTTTACATATCTGGTTCTAAATCCCAGTAGGTCATGAAGCTAAGTTTTTAGGAATTATATTTGATAAAAAACTTTCTTTTATACCACATATTAAACATTTGAAAACTTAATGTCTAAAAGCTATAAATTTACTGAAGGTTTTATCAAGTACAAATTGGGATCAATTCCTTCCACATTACTGAAATTATACAGAAGTCTTATCCGATCAAAATTAGATTATGGTTCTGTAGTATATGGGTTTGCAAGAAAATCATATCTTCAAATGCTAGATTCCATACATCACCAGGGTTTAAGATTAGCTTTAGGTGCTTTTCGCACCTTACCTATATGCGGAAGCTGGGGAACCGTCACTTCATCTACGTCGAGAAAAGCTATTACTTCAATATGCAACTAGAATTTCATCTAATAGCAAAAATCCAGTTAAAAATATTATTTTCAATCCAAGTTATACTGAAATTTTGATAACAAACCAAAGGAAATTAAACCATTAGGCCTTTATTTAAAAGATGATTTAGATAAACTTAAAATTAATCCAGTATCCTTCAAAATGACGAGGAGGATGTTCCACCTAGGACTTATAATTCCCCGAAAATTAATATTAACCTTTCAAATTTAAAAAAGTCATCAATTCACCTGAACATTTCAAAGAGAAGTTTCTAGAAATTGAGGAAGAACATGAAGATTTTATACATATTTATACGGACGGTTCAAAAGACGGTTGCAAAGTAGGTGCAGCTGTGTTTGGTAATATTTTTACATCTAGTATGAGGTTACCAGATAATGCATCAATTTTTACGACAGAAGCAAAAGCTATAGATTCAGCATTGTCATACATAGTACAGCATACCCATGATAAATTCGTGATATTTTCTGACTCGCTTTCTGTTTTAATATCCATTTAAAATAAAAAATCTGACAATATCATGATTCAGAAACTGCTTTTATGATTTCATGATGTACTTAAAACAGAATCTGTTAAATTATATTGGATTCCAAGTCATGTAAGTATACGAGGAAGTGAAAAAGTAGATGCTTTAGCTAAACAATCATTAAATTTTCAACAAACTGACTTATTGTTACCTGCTTGTGATTTTAGACCGGCTATAAAAACTCATATCATCTAAATGGAAAGGAAATTGGGACAATGCCGTTTTTAATCAACTTAACGATATAAACCCGTCTCTTGATGTGTCACCATCTCTATCTTTGTCAAACCGCCATGATCAAATAGTTCTTCTTCGATACCGAATTGGACACACTAAAATTACCCACTCTTATCTCCTCGCGAATGACAATGCCCCTTTCTGTGTAGCTTGGAATGAAAATTTTACTGTCAAACATTTTCTTCTTGACTGTCATGATTTTTTACAGGCCTGTAATAGATTTTATCGTGTAAACTCACTCAAAGAACTTTTTAATACAGTTCAATTGATTATTTGAAAGAAATAAACTTGTACTCTAGGATCTCATTGACTCCTTTAATGGTCATTTACAAAACATTACATAGCATTTTAAGCCTGTTATAGCGTTCGGCACGATATGGCCAGTTATGTGTTGACGTGCCGTAAAAATCCAAACAAACAAACAAATACTGGCCTTATCAAATAAAAATATGCTTGTGATGTCACCAGTATGTTTTTAGATTATTCTTTTAGATTTATTTCCTACTTTTTAAAAAGAAAATTCTGTTCTTTGCGACATTTATGTATTTCAGTGTATACTGTTTAAGCCTTTTTTGGTATACATTTAACATAATTTTTGTCTCGCTTAATGTTAAAAATGTTAAACCTGATTGCAACAGAGTCTGGAAAACAAACCTGAAGCAATTTACATAATACTTATATCATATTTTCTTCTTGGTTGGGTTATATTAATCGGAGTAAAGAAAACAACACAATCTAGATTTATTGCTATGCATCAATACAAATTGTTAAGATTTAAAGCGAATCACGTGTCTCATTGATCGTGTAATATTAGGGTAAAAGCTTTTAAATCTTAAAAGTAAGGTTTTACTCTATATGTGCAGATATATTGATATTTTCGGGTAATTTTAATTACGATATTTTATTAAATACAGTCAGTATCAACATAATGGCAAGGAATAGTGGATGTACTGTTTCTTCAAAAAGCCTAAAACTTGGTTCTCTGTTACTATTTGCTGGATTTATAATTCATGTTGTTGGATTTTCGATTGCGAAATGGGCGTCTTATTCTAGTACCATATTCAGCGGACAAACGTCTTACCATGTTGGATTATGGGAACAGTGTCTCTGTGCAAAGATAATCTTGGAACAATGCGCATGTATAAAGAGAGACGGAGATCAAAGTTTGTATGTACAGTGTATAACTCAAATTTTACATTTTGAAGATAATTAAATAATATCGATGGCTCAGCGCAATACTGGTCTAACTGCTATTTTTGAAAATGTTCAGGAGAGACAAAAAACTGATTTAATTCATAAATACTTATATTAGAAAACCTTTTTTTTTTGCTAAGTTGACATTAATTTTAATAAGAAATAATGCCATTTATCTAAATTTGAATTAAAATTATACAAATTGTGTATTTTAGAGTTATACCTTTATTACGCTGAAATTCTGACTGCAATACAAGACAAACTTGAGTTAGACTCAAAGTCCCTATTGAAATTTGGTAGTTAGACCTGTTGTACCTTAAATATTTTGATATAAATGAAATTTTAATTTTTGAACAAAATATTTCATTAATTTAAACATCTCTAGCACAAATTTACAGAGACTAAATCACTCAAAATTTTCTATTAATATATCATGCAAGCTGACTTTAGATGAAAGTACACTTATTTCTTCTATTTCAATTTGTTTTAGATTCATATTTACTTAAGTTCTTTTTCAGATTATCTGTGTAATAAGTTTGAATTCTAAACAAAATGCAACAGTTTTTATTAAATTATGATTAAATTATAGCGTTATAAAGAGTTGTCATCAACAATGATGACTGACAATGCAGGAATATATTATGATTCAATTATGATATCATCAAAGTTTGAAAAGAGGGAATTGATAAGTCACATTTGTACAAATAAGACACATTTTAATTTCTCAATGCACACCTTTAGCACCATTGGTGCTTTGCTTCAAATAAGGTGGGTGATTCCAGTGCTACTGTTGTGCGCTTAACTTTAAAGAATTTAATGTGGGTGGTTCTATTTTCTTTTATATCAAATATTTTCAAAAATGAAAACCGTTGTTTGACCATGCTTTATTACAACTTTTATATTTCCTTTTTCAACTGCTTAGAATATATTTTGAGAGTGCACAATTTTACTACTTTTTTTTTGCTGAAAACAGTTAAAAATGTTTCATTTTATATATCAAAGTCATTTTATCTTTCAATTTTGACCAAATAAGAGGTTGTCAAACATATTTAAGCCAAATAAAGTACTATCAGGGATTCATAGAACAAAGAATTATTAACACATAATATAATTTAGAATCATTTTTGATGTCGCCTATACAGAGTAGTGGTGACATGTAGGGATCACTTTTCCGTCCTCTGTCTGTCTGTACGTTAGTCCTTCCATCCGTCCGTCACAAAATTTGTCCGGACTACTCCTCATAAACTACTGGTGCAATTTCTTCCAAACTTTATAAAAAGGTGGGTTTTTTGTGCGCTGCCAGATACACAAAAGCTTGTCTAGACTATTCAAAAACTACTGGTGCAATTAAAAATGTTCAATGAAACTTTACAGGTTTGATTGGTAGGTCAAATTCTTGTGCATATTACACGGGTTTTCCACTTGAATGATTTTGGCCCGGTTATGGTCCTTGAATGAAAAGGGTGTTAAAAAGTTTTTCTGCAATACTCCTCTCATACCATTTATGCAATTTCAATAAAACTTTACAGGATTGATTGATATGTCAAGTACCTGAGCATAATACACTTTTTTTCACTTGAAGGATTTTCAGCTGAGTTATTGCCCTTGAATGAAAATGTGTTTTGCCCTCTTAATGATTTTTGGGTCTCCTGCTACACAGCTGCAGCATGCGATTGGCTATCATGAGGCGACACATGTCATCACTGATGGCCCTTGTCTAAACATATAAGTGTTTTAAACACATGGATGATACAACCACTTACTCACTTATATATGAAAATATGCACACCTGAAACACCATCTGCACACCTTAAATTAGCACCAGACAAATAGAATGGATAAATGTTGCTGTATTTTTTCTTTGACACTGATACTACGTAAGTCAAACAGTTTTGCACATTACTCTCTCAAAATTCAATCAAGCTGTGCGAGACATAAAATTATTAGAATACAAGAACTAAAAAGGTCATTATAATATGTAAGTGTGCATATTTTGATATATTTTCTGCATGTATCACATCAAGAAAATTGAGAGGAGTGTGATTTGCACATGTTGAAGCTTTGTTGTTATTGTATTGCTGGAGTTGTTAATAGTGTGCAGGCTAAGTTTGATTTGGCAGTGAAACAATTTACATTCTACCCCTACCACCATTTTAAGTAAAACTCATTATATAAATATGAACAAAGTGTAAAATAAAGAATTAAGAATTTAGAAATATCAGCATATGATTAAACAAAGGTCAAACTAAAAGCAATGAATTTTGAGAGGGGCTCAGAGTTTATGAATCCACTAGCATTACACTTGTGTTATTTTCTTTTTATTTTATGTACCTAAATGTGTTACATTTCCAAAAAGAATGATTTATTTATCCATAAGAATAGGCTTATGAATATTAAAATGTCAATACACATTCATGGAGTCACCACTCCAGCAATATAATATGTTGAAAACAGAAAATGTATGACAAGTTTAAAATGACCATATGTGCATCAGAAACATACACTGTCTTTTTCTTTGTACAAAATATGATAGATAGTCAGTTTCAACTGTACTTAATGTTATCAAATAATACAGTATTAGTATGATGTCAAAGACAAAAATAAGTGTTTAATTTTGATAATCAGTTGTCTTATAAAAATTCTTTAAAGATTTTTTGTTTACATGTACATGATTTGCAATTGGTTAATTTTCTGGCCATAAGTACAAAGCACTGTCAGATGGAATCAAATTGTAACTAGTGTTTTAATGAATTCTCACATTTTCTTTATAACATTTCTTAATGGGATATGCATATTTTTCTGTAACTTAAAATCAGACATTTAAGGTCTAACTCGAGCATTTTTGAGAAAAAGTGATATATTTGACATTGGAACAAGAGACCAACTCAATTTAGACCTTTATTGCACTGATGAAATTTAATTACCTGAGATAGTCTTTTATTTTACTTGTAAATGAAAAAGGTAAAAAAAGTGTAAATTACACTAAAATTTTCACAGAATGTATATTTGACCTTACTTTATCAAAATATGTAAAAAAGTGATTTTTGGTAAAAATGTGACTTAGACTTTTATTGCACTGAGCCATCGACATGAAAGATGTTGCCCATATTAATGAGAAAACACTGGTATCTTTTAGACATACTAAATGCTCAGTATGATATCAATGAGTAAATGTATCAATGGATGCAACAAAATATGATAAACAAGATCAACAAGGAAAGGCGGCGTTCAAAAAACGCAACCCCCATATGACCCAGCAACAAGAACCAGAGGCAAGGAGCCCAGGCGGACCCCAAACAAAAACAGGACAGGGCACAATAATGTATATAATACTTCTAACATTCTATATTGGTATATATCATCCGTTCTTAAATTGTTTATTTATGATCTAAAACCATTTGTAACATTTCATTGATTTACAAATAAATCTTATAAAAAAAATTCAGCATGGTTCATAGCAGTACAAGTCATGGAGACTTTGGGTCTAATTGGATTGGCTTTTACTGGAATCATTTGTTTGATTCTTGTATGTTGGAGACAAACAAAGGCATTGAAGAAATTGAATATTTTCTCGATTTTATGTTCAAGTAAGTCATTGCAAAAAACAGGTAAATATTTACGCGAAATCACACTCACAAATAAACGTGCAGATGCGCACGCATTGCACTGTGAAATTAAGGGAGAGGAACTTTATAAGTTTTCTTTCGTTCTAATCCCTTTCATTTTATGTAACAATTATATATATATATATATATATATATATATATATATATATATATATATATATATATATATATATATATATATATATATATATATATATATATATATATATATATATATATATATATATATATATATATATATAATGTAATATATATGTAAAATATTGAAATACATATGTTTAAACTAAATTTAATCAATATCTTTTACTTTATCAAACATCACAAATGCACTCTACCTTGTAATCGTTTGTACTACACTTAAAAAATTACGCTGTGGTTGTTTTTTTACAAATACCACCAAGATAATAATAAATCACTTATACCACAACAAAATCATTATTCATTTGTTTTATATATTACCTTTGAAATTAAAAGTTTTTTTTTAAGTTTTATTCGTTTCAAAATGAGTTTTCTAATCAAAACCAAATTTGACATAATGCAAATATGCTTATAGTTTTGAATACCTTTCATTGCACTTACATTTCATTGTAGGTGTTTTCATTATCATCTGATTAATTATATTCGGAGTTGAAAACACAAATAACTTTAATGCCTTGGTTGAAATTATCGGCGCAAAAGACACAGACGGAAAACTTGGCACGTCCTTCTTCTTATGCGCTGGTGCCGCCGGAATATCCTTACTTGCATGCTTGCCTCTATTCTTGATTGACCTGAGAACCCAAATACCAGAGTCTACAAACATGCAACAACAAACAGTGCAATACTCGAGCCAAGGTCATGTCATGAGTGTATCACCGCATCAGGTACATGTTATACCGAATGTTTCAAGTCAGCAACCACAGACAAGTTCTGTGCCAGCATACGGACCTTACAGTGTGCCTCAACCGTACACACCACAAGCGTCCTGGGGATATAACACGACTAGTCCTCCGCCACAGCCAGATGGCTATTACCACCCTTACAAAGGATAGGAAAGATACGGAACAGAGAGACAGAATGAGAACTATGTGAAATTCATGACACAACATATGCAAACTCTAGCTAATATTTACCTAGCTTATTTTTTCTGCACTGGTTTGACATTTTACGATGTAAGCCTTGTCAAATTTTGCACTATATATTCTACAGTAAATCAGTCACATTGAAGTTGCCCAATTTAAAAGGCCCTGCCTGCTGGCACGTTGTATATCTATTCCGCTTAGAGAAATCTGCTGTGTTGATTAAGCGAAAGAATCCTTTTATTATTTCAATATACGTTTTTTTTCATCTTCAACAAATACCAATTGTTAGGTGAACGACAGTGCATTTTAATGTACATTTGTAATTGTAAATATATTTAAAAATTGCAGTTTTGATTATTTTCTGGCTCGAAACTAGCACAAATATCTACACAGGATTGATGTTGATGTTCACTGTATTAAGTCCCATATCCGCGACATTCTAGCACCATATTTGAATATAATCACCATTTCATCCATCTTAGTACAGTAACTCCAACATTATGTAGGCATTTGTTTATGATTTGGATGGACCCATCTAACACACATATCAATAATAAACTAACGATGAATAACGGCCACCAGAGTAGAACTACCGACGTCCTGTAAGCTTGGTAGATAGTTTCAATGCATGAAAACAATCTGAAAGCCCCTGGCAAAACTTGAACCCACGGCGATGAGGGGCAAGTAGTTTGAAGTCGATAGCCTTAATCTGTTGGCTTCGGACGTTGCTTAAGACGTTGCTTATTTATAATATGCCGGTGTTACAAAAAACTAGCAAGTGTTTTTAATAGCCCCAGTAAATCGAGTGACTGCTTATGAATGTTCAGACTAGCTGTTTTTATTCACAAAACTTGTATTTGTTTATGTTTAAGCTTTTGCAACATATTTTGAAAATCACGAGGAAGGTTCTGAAGGGTTTAGAAAGATTTAAAATGCAGAAAATTATGTTGATGATATTCTTGTGTACTAATGACATTGGTTATACATTCGCATGTTTTCATACGTTTGAGGGAATCTTAACTTTTACTTTGTTTCAAGATTTTAGCAGCTGGACTGAAGAAGTGTAGTATGTGTTTGTTTTATTCATGCAAATGAAGTGTTTAGAATTTATTTTAGGAGTAGCAAGTGTATTGGAACCTGTTCCATGTAAAATGAAATAAAAAAAACATGCCTTAAACTAAGAAACAGGTAGGGTCATTCGTAAGTGTTGTTGGATTATATACGATAATTTGTTATACTTGGATCCATTTATTTATGTTTGCTTTTACAATTGCCTACAAAATGACGTATTAATTTTAAAAGATACATGTTCACCAAATAAACGTGGTTAAGGGGTCAGAATGAAGATTTTACTTGAGAAAACATTACGATTTTAGAGTTCAAATAGAGTATGGAACGTTGTCTTACACCACGCTGTTCATAGCAATACGAGTTTGAAACGAGGTCTGTACGCGTCGTCACTAAATGACGTCAGTTGGTCCGGCCTCCAAGATAGGAGAGGTTTGCTTTATCTTAACGAAGATGACTGATATTGTTTCTGTGGCAATTAAATTTCCGTGGAACACAACCGACATTTTAACTTCTACTGAGCATAGTCTCTGTTTCAATACGTTGACGTTCAAAAGCCCACGCATTGCAGTCTTTTTTCTCTTATATAAATTACTTTAAGGAAAATGTTTACATATTTTATTACCTCTGTGCAAGGGCAAATCTTACAAAACGTTTCTAATAAGGCGTTTCTTACAATTTTAATCAAATAGGGACCGGTATGTACCCATTGTTTATAGTCGTAAACATTTTTACATCACATTGTTTAAATTTTAAACGATTATTGACAATTTAACTATAGTTGTGCCAAAACGAAATTATATGATATATAATGACTTAAAAATCAATACTCTTAAGAAAATTAGTTTTAGGTTATATTCGGTAAATAACAAGTCCTTTGTCATAGTTCTGTAGTAAACTTGACCATGTTTCTGTAAAATACATGACTAAATACTTTAAAATGTTAACATAATCACACATAATAGAAATTAAACTTTATTTAGCTATTGCAGGTATTGCTCATTACGCCCAGAGATAGTGCTTAACATAACGCATTTTTGTCCGTCTTTCAATCCGCCTTTCAATCCAAAATTATGTCCAGAGTACCAACACCCCCGGTCTTTATTCTATAGAAAATGTAACCATTTATGTATATTTAATACTGAACAAAAATTCCCAACCTTAGAAATTTGTAAAACATTGAGCTAGTAGTTACATGTATAATATTTCTTTATAAAGATGTCATATTGCACAAGGGTAACTATTAGAAAGATTTTGAAATAAAAAACAACAACTTCAAATGAGTATTCGAGCTAAGACATATCGAGCCTCCACTTTCTAATGGTTGCCTCTAGCCATCTTATTATAAAAAAAACCTGATTTCACATAGTCAGTTAAGATCGATATAAAAAAACAAATTAAAGCTCTCTGCATATGGAAAGGCTTATAACTTTTGCCAAACTAATGAATAATTTGATATTAAAAGGGGCTCCACTACGGTGCGATGGCCTAAATATACACATGGAAATAGGTTAAACACCCCCGGATATTTAAAATTGGTTGTGATTTAAGCACTGTCATGAGATGACAACTTAATTGAGCTAATACGTAGTATTGTGATAAGTAGCGATACCAATTTAAAAATCATAAACCAGTTAATTTATGAGTTAAGTTAATTCTTAACCAAATTATAGAAGCATTAGCAAATGTGATGATTATAAGTATGGTGTTGGAACATTTGTGGATATTTTAATAAATGTTGACGATTACGTAACCTCAAATGGCATTATGTAGCCACGTTTTCAGTAATATAACGTGTGTAACCGCTACGTGCCCGAATTATAGCCTCAACCCTTCTCCTCATACTACCAGTAAGGTGTCGAATGCGATTTTGAGGAAAATTTTGACATTCTTGGTGCAGACCTTGTTCTGGTTGTTGTAGGTTCACTACAGGTGGTTCGTACCATTGCCCAAATAAAATTTTGAATTTCAGTTGTTGTCATGTCAAAATTGAGGCAAAATGCAAAAGATGCATATCCCCTCCCAACGGTAAATGAATGTCTAAATGCATTGGCAGGTGCCAAATGGTTCAACTACATGGACTTGTGTTCGGGATTTTAGCTGGTCGAAATGGATCCAGGCGACAAACATAGAACAGCTTTCTCAACATCTGATGCATTGTACAAAAATGTATTATTTCCGCATTTTTACAATTTCCCAGATGACTTGGAACTCAGACATTGACTTATAACAAGCTGGAAAAATCATACTAGATAAACCCAGTGGAACGTTCGGGTCGTATACTCGTCCACATAGTGGTCATCTTCTGCTATTCCTGTTAAAAGGCGCCTCAAACAACATGTCTTGATGGGTGTTAAAGTATCATTATCATGACTTACAAACGTTAAAGAATATCTAGTGTGAAACATTCAGAAAACTTTAGATTGTTAAATTATACTTGACTCTATAACAATATTGTTCTACATACAATCCTTTTTCCATTTTATGTAATGAGTCAGTTCAATGTTTAATAATCAGTACACGTAGGTTGACAATCACCTTATATAGATGACAATTGCCGATAAAGATTGATATAATATTGAGGTTTGAGTGCAATATTTGCTTTTAAAATAATGTCAATACATACGTATTTATTTACGATCATTTATATTTAGAAAGAGAAAAATTGAAGTTCACAATACCCGGTAAGGGACATTTCAGAAACATATTAAGAGTGGGGCATGTTAAGGAGAAGAAAGAAGTATTAACTTTATACTATAAGTTGAAATTATAAAAAAGTTAAACAAATGGCAAAGGTATTTCATACTCTTTAAATCATACTGCCTTCGAAGTAGTCTGATGACGTCATATTTTCAAGCAATTTTTATGATCAACTGTTGCTTCGTTCGGGCCAATGAACAACAACGCTTATTATGCCCCAGAAATGCGGCATATTAAAATCGCACTGTCCGTCTGTCTGTGCGTTCCCGCTTACACAACATTCATGTCCGGACTGTAATTGTCATGCATATCTTTAAAATAACTTGGCATAAATATCTACCATATCTTGATGATGTGTCGCGTTTAAGGACTATGTCCCTACCGCCACACTTACATTTTGAAGTTTCATATTATCACACTTAGAATTTAAAGGTACACACATTCGTATACTGGCTGTAACTTGTCAGGTATTCAAGGATTTTAAAATAACATAGCATAAATGTCTACCACATTAAGACGACATGTCGCGTTTATGACACATGTCCCTATCTCCAAGGTCACACTAATAATTTGAAGGTACATATTTTAACAAGAAGAGTTTGAATGTACACATCCATGTCTGGACTGTAACTTTGCCATGCAGTCAAGGATTTTAATATAATTGTCTACCACACCATGATGATGTGTCGCGTCAGGTCAATGTCAAACATAATTTTGATGAATCACATTCTCACAGAGATGAAAGATACACACAATTGTGTCCGGACTATAAGCATAAAAGGATTTTGAAATAACATGGCATAAATGTCTACCACATTTAGACGACGTGTCGCGTCTAAGACAATGCCCCTACCTCCAAGGTAAAGGTGGTAAGTTTTCTGTGAATAGCACTTTATTTCACAAGAAGAATATATCGCAATTAGTTAGTTTCATTCTCTTTTCTTTTCATAATACCGTTCTGCAATACTTTTTCGGGGGCATTTGTCACTTTTAAGGAAGTCGAAAGTATCGTTATTAAGCAATGGCGTCGTCTAATGATCACGCGGCGTCCTGTCATTTTAATCAGAACTTAATTACGGTTAATTACTATAACAATTATGGAATATACTTAAAAACAACAAAATAGATGCACATAGATTCAACATCATATTTGGTTATAGTTTACACATAAACAAACAGTATGGCAAAAACTTTCGTTATTCTGGGACACCCCTTTTTATATGCATTATTTAAATTAGACATCTCCTTTAAAACCTGTATTGATTTAGAAATTAAAAAACTTTATGTTTGTTGATAAAGAACTTTTCGTGTTTACAATATCATTTTTCTATCTGAGCTTACATTGTAGACAAATTTATACAGATTATTCAATTTAAATGCGATCTAATTTTCCAACACAATGAATACGCTACCTGTTATCCTCTTATATATCTTTTATATCATATTTCTTTTTAACGGCGGTGAACTTAAACCTAAGCACGAGTGGCGCATGTTTTTATATAATGTGACGACGAAAACAAGATAATGAGGAACTTTAATGTGGTAGGTGATATATCTATTTTAATTGGTCGTTTGCATTTACTCATTCGATGTGCTATGTCCGTAGCTACTAGTTTTAACTTAGAGAAATGAAGGTAGGCGATTTCATTCGATATTTTTCATCAAAGATTTTAAAAAATGAAGTTCTAGTTGGAACTTCCTACTGTTGGAGACTTTTCATGTAATCGAGATATATTTAAAGAAAGTAAAACCCTTCGATATGATCTGTTTCTTTAAGAAAGGGCACAAATTGAGTCTTTTTTCATGTATATTCAAATCAGACTTTATTGACTGCCCATTTGCAAAGTATCAAATAAAACACATTACCAACGCAAAATTGATTATTTTATTCAATTTGTCTGGTGCTGCGAACATGCACATAGTTCTGACATTGAACATTGAAGGCGTGAATATTTGTTTTGGATATAACATGAGTTTATGCTAGCAAATGTATTCGGCATTTAAAATGTTTAAAGTATCAATTTAAAGAACAAACAAATAACTGATATATTAAACGATAAAAATTTTGAATGATTTAATTGTTAAGTGTAATAGTTCTGCATGCGTATGAATGTTTCTTTAAAATGAACATTGTCTTGACATTTGTCGTAGACTGTAGCCTTGAAACAGTGTCGCCTCAGTTAAAATGAAAATAAGTACTTTTACTAGTATCATATTTGAAAAAGAGATATAATATAGAAACGGAATTATTTATGACTATGTTTGTAAACTTGTGTGTTCTGTGTACATTTCAATTTAATTTTGCTTCAGGTGTTATTCTTAATATGCTACTTTTGATAAATGCATATCTAAGAGTGGGTGGAAATTAACGGTTATTTTAATATTATAAATACAACCAAAGTATATTAGGATCTTCTTCATTATTTATAATTATTATGTATGCGTGACTTATCACTTCTATTCACAATATGTTCATCTATCAAAGTGCTCTGTGCTGGATATAATAATAACAATAGTAGCATAAGTGAAAGACACGCAATCATACGCAGCTTTACATAGAAAGGCACTAACAAGCCTCATTGAAAGTTCCATGATAATCACTTAATGATAAAAAAGAATTCTACTTTAGGCAGTGCTAGGGGACTTTTTTACCGTCCATGAACTTGTTCAATCAAATCGAGTTTGCAATATTTTAATTTTTGCAGTTTTTTGGCAGCCTTTGGAGATTTTTTCTGCTGCAACTAATGAATCCACGCAGTCTATAATTCTTCGATCACTTGTCTGACGCGTAGACCACTCGGTAACGCCACAGCTATTGTGCAATCATTTTATTACCATATCAAAACCCCTTATCGAAATCGGTGCTGTATGCAGTTTCTTTGAGCAAACAGAAAAGATAAAAAGCAAGATCAAGGCATGCAATGGCATTCGTTCTGTTGTACATCAGTATCTCAAAACAAACTCCTATTTGGACTCCATCAACGTACTACATGATTCAACAATGCTACTGAAATTGTGTAAAGATAAGAGAGTAATTTGAAGAAAAAATGAAAATTGCGTAGTGCATATCATGTTTTTAACTCACCTGTCACAAATGGACATGGTGAGATTATGTGATTGCTTTTCGTCCGGCGTCCGTCCGTCGTCCGGCCGTATTTTTTTACTTTAAACGACATCTCCTCATAAACCGCTATGCCAATTTCATCCAAACTCATAGGAATGTTCCTTTGGTAGTAAACTTTAGAAATTACTCTGGTTGCCATGTCAACCGAAAGAAAAAACTTAAAATATCTTCTTTTAGAAAACCAAAAGAGCTAAAGCTCACATATTTGGCGTGAAACATCATCTAGTCAGTGTCTACCAAGTTTGTTCAAATAAATGCCCTGGGGTCGAAATTGGCCCAGCCCCGGGGGGTTATTGATTTTCCTTATTTGTATATAGTAAAAACTTTAAAGATCTTCTTTTAAGTAAACGAAATTAGCTAGAGCTTAGATATTAAGAATGAAACATCTTCTAGTGGGTGTCTACCAAGTTCGTTCAAAAAAAGCCCTTGGGTAAAAACAGGCCCCGCCCCAGGGGGTCATTGATTTTCCTTATTTGTATATAGTTAAAACTTAAAAAATCTTCTTTTAAAATCACCAAAGAGCTAGAGCCAAAATATTTAGCATGAAACATCTTCTAATAAGTGTCTACCCAGTTTGTCCAAATAAGGGCCCTTGGGTTAAAATTGGCCCCGCCCTGGGGGTCATTGATTTTCCTTATATGTGTATAGTAAAAACTTAAAAATCTGCTTATAAAAAAACCAAAGAGCTAGAGTTTAGATACAAAGCAGTAAATATCTTCTAGTGAGTGTCTACCAAGTTTGTTCAAATAAAAACCCCTGGTTTAAGATTGGCCTTGGCCCAGGGACCTATATTCAGGTGAGCGATTTCAGGGCCACTTCAGGGCTCGCTTGTTTTATTTTTTGTTTGTTTTTATTTTTAAGGACAAGTGAACAGTCTTCGTTTAAGATATATAAATACTCATGAAACTTCAATACTGTTTGAAATTATTATTCTTTACAGGTTATATATGCTATTTGCTTATGGATTTTCCTGCGCCAATCATTAACAAAAGGTAAGTGTTCTCTCATTGAAATAGCGTTTAATTTCTCTCCATATACAATTATATTTATTTTACAAATATACCACTAAAATGCTGGTTTATGATTTTTTAAACTTTCAGAAATCCCCAAAATATGTTTTGCTTTAATGTGTAAATATAGGGGGATTTGCTATAAATGCAAATGAATGTAAGTCTTATTTATATTGTTAATCATTAAAAAATAAAAATTTTATAAATGTAATGTTGATTTTTTTCATTAATTAAAATGTCACTTGCATAGCCCTTCATTTCCTATGTAAGATGATAATATTTTATCGTTATTACGAAGCTGATCATATGATACAAAAATGAATGGGTGTTTTCATTTCTTACAGTAATTGATGAAAAATGCAAAATAGACTGTGCATGTTGTATAGATAGAGAATGTGCACAAGGCACGTGGTTTTGTAATGAATGCACGTTAGGCTGTATTGATGGCCATAGAGGTAGTCGATGTTATGAAAGATGTACGCATAACTGTACAAAATGTGATAATCTTAACGACGCAGATACGTGCACTGCGTGTTATGATGGATATTATCCAGGTCCTGCTGCAGACTGCACATCAAAATGTTTGCCCGAATGTAAAACATGCACTTCCGGTATCAATTGTACATCATGCAAGGACGAGTATTACAACGACAATGGTCACAATGATTGTCGTTATCGCTACTGTCCTGAAAATTGTTATTGTGCAAGTAAACAGTGTGTGTCATGTAAGGATGGATATTATGATACCAGTAAGTCATGTAATAGTTTATGTCCAGGTAACTGTATCACGTGTTCGTCGGAAACTGATTGTGGATCGTGTAAAGATGGTTATTATAAAGGTTACCGGAACGACAACATAAACCCCCGTTTGTTGACCGGCTGTACAAACAAATGTCGAGATAACTGTGTACGATGCTTATCATATGACAGTTGCTCGGTTTGTAAAATTGGGTTTTATGGATCAAACTGTGAGAATACATGTTCTATCGGATGTACTACAAACACTTGCAATATACTAACAGGAAACTGTGATTGTTTTCCTAATTTTGCTGGCGAAAAATGTGACAAATGCAAAACCGGGCAATATGGAAACATGTGTGAGCAACAATGTCCTACTGGATGTAAAGGAAATGTGTGTGAAAAAGATTCCGGAGATTGTACAGACGGTTGTACTATAGACAAAATCATTGGGGATAAATGTGATGTTTGTCCGGCAGGTTGGTATAATAAAAACAATAATTTACCTTGTTTTGTAAGCTGTAGCAATAAACAGTGCGAGAGGGGTAACGATAGGTGCTCAAATGGATATTCTGTATTTGTTCTATAGTAAATATGATAATCTGCTAGGAAATTTTCGAATGATATGTGATCGGAAAATGAAGCTTCTTGTTTACACACTTACTAAACTCCTTGATAAGTAAATTCCATTTGAGTTTCTTCACCGTGTTTATCCAGTAACGCCGGAATGTGAAAATAACAGCCAAACGTGCAGTAAGTTACGCAGAATTGTGCAATAAATAGCGGATACCCGACAGGATTTCCAACGCGGTAAGTAAACTGGCCAATATAGTTTCTATTCAACCGAACTGAATCGCATACGGCTGCAAAGACTTTACTCTTTACCCCTCATCAAGATTAATTCCACGAAATTATTTAATTTTCAAGATCATTCGTGAAAATGATGGCTTGGCCGCAGTTTTGAGCGAGTTTGGCTTTTTATCTCTCTTTTAAGTACAACAATGCATATTATGCCGTATACTTTCGATTTTCAGTAGCCAAATGACATAAACTTAACTTCTGGTGATAAAGAGAATTGAAAATAAACTGATAAAATGTGATTCAAGCCGTTTTTATGATGTAATGCCGATGTACGTGAATTGTGCTTCGCGACAACGCCGGAAAATGTGATTTTTTTTCATATATGGTACAGAATTATTACACAGGTTTAACATCTTTTATCGGCGAATATAATCAAGTTATTTGCGACCTAGTCAATAACTTATTAAGAAAAATATAATCATTAGATCTTGACAAACTTTCAACACTTTGATTGCATATAGTAACTTAACACAATTTGACAATTGTTTCCTGAAATAAATTATTATTTGCAAACATGCTGCCCAAGTCTTATCTTGTTACAGAATAAGAAAAATAAACATCCTTTGCAAATAAATTTCATATAAAAATAATAGAAAACAATCAAGAGAAGAAGTGTCTGTATATTTTATGCATGAAATAATGCAGCCGCCAGTAAAGCTTGAAAGCAATTTGCCTGGTGAACTTTTGTGAAAATGGATTATTTTATTTAATTTATTTTGTCTCTTTTATAAGGAAGTAACTTGTATTTAAAATATGTTTTTCTTAGAAACAGTAATGCCAAAAACATGTAAAAGCATAACCTTAATGTCCTCTGCTAAAGTTAGATAAATTATAACCCTTGGGTTTAAAGACTTATCCTACTTTTGGGGTTTCCTATTATATGTTAACATGTATGGGGAAAACCGTATGAATCTACCGTAAGAGCTTAAGCTAGGCATAACTATAGACGTTTACAAAACAAACATGACTAATGACCCTAAAAGAGGCCACTAGCACAGAGCCAGGTCACATCCATACAGAGTGACCGTTTTCTCACTCAGGTAGTTTATTTGTACAAATACATTAAATATCTAATACCAATCTCTCAGACCTTGAATGAACTGTTCCAAGTTCACAGCTGAGCAAAACCATTTGCTAAATTTACCAGGTATAGGGTGACATAGCCTAAAGATAGGTTGAATATATTTGGGTTTCTTAACTCAATGTACATGTATATGGAGAGCTACTAGAGATGTGTTTGTAGAAGATTTTATGAAGGTCTAAAAGTGGACTTCGTGTCAATTAATAAAGAGTGAGAACAATAAAAAGTTCTATAATTTAACAAAGCCCATTTTCATAACTACCATCTCAATAGGTATTGTGAAATTGCTACCCCGTTGTTTCCTTGAGTAAGAAATGTTTCACGCATCGCTTCGTACTCAATTCAACAAAGACTTATATTATGAAGCTTAAAGCTCTGTGGTTTCAGGGACGGATTCGAGACTGTGTTTTTATTTTCTACGCAATCAAACTTAAATAAATTCTGTATTAAATGAATTAAAGTTTCCTCACAAAAATATAGTTGAAAAGTGCTGATACTCGCCGATTAATGATGTTTAAATCGTGTAACAGTTCAGTACCATATATGGACAAATCGCATTTTCCGGCGCTACCGCAAAGCACTATTCACGTACATCGGCATTACCTCGTAAAAACGACTTGAATCACATTTTATCAGCCTATTTCAATTTTTAGTAATTGTCACTTGCCTACCGAAAATCGTATGAAAATGATACGGTACAATATGCCTTGTTGTACTTGTAAAAGTAAACAAAAAGCCAAAATCTCGCTCAAAACGGTGGTCAAAAGCCATCATTTTCACGAATGATCTTGAAAAGTAAACAATTTCGTGGAAATAATCTTGATGATGGATAAAGAGTAATGTCTTCCAGCCTTATGCGGCTATTCCTTATTTTCAGTTCGGTTAAATGAAAAATATATTATCCAGTTTACTTACCGCGTTGAAAATCCTGTGAGGTATCCGCCATTTATTGAGCAATTCTGCGTTACTTATTGCACGAATCGTGCGTTATTTTCACATTCCGGCGTTGCTTGATATACACGGTGTTCTTACTCCTCTGGCTCAGAAAGCTGCGACAAATTTAGTTGTCGTGGCTTTAAAGTGCAATTTCTAGGTCTGAAAAAGGGGATTCATGTCTAATTTATTCTTAACTGACATTATTTTATGATTTTGTCTCGACCTACCTTTGACCTACTTTGACCCGAAAGTGAAAATGTATTGGACCCTTTTGATTCACCATTTGATTTTTTCCGCGCCACAAAAAGGAAGGAGTTTTTTAATTAAAAAAAATCCTGTTGTAATATGATCATTTTTCCGCTGTAAGTTTATTATGTCAAAGGCACAAGTGCATGGAAATGTAGGCGATAGAGAAATTGCAGACTCGGTAAAATGTACGTTAGAGTTGGTTTTTTATAAAATATTTAAGACGGAGTTCAATAAGAATAGGAAAAAAGATCATTACATTTCTTTGTTGAGTGATCGTTGATGTTCAGCTAACTCTTTATATTTTTTAAATTGGAAAATGATTTCGTAAACGCCCACGGTATAAAATATTTCCAAAATATCAAGATGGAAACACTATTTGTTGTAGACTTTTATTAGTTGATTATTATTATTAAATTTCTTTTTACGACTTGAGTTTACGATTCAAAACAATAATAAATTGATTCTATTATTAATCTGACTACTTACTGGATACCGGTCCGTGGCTGATATTAATATTGTTAAAAAAGAGGGCACAATAATTACCAATTATGCCATTACAGAACGAAACAATTTTTATTGAATTTCTTAATACACTTCTGATGGACATATCACCAGAGGGCATATTGTTATTGTTTTGAATGCAACCCCTTTTGAAAACTGCATTGAAGAAACCCGACTGACTTCAGAAAGGAAAGGTTTAGACATTAAAATAAGAATAAAATATACCAAAAACTGTAAGTGTTATAAAGTACATGTATTTTCTTTGATTGAAAATACTAAAGTATAAACTATACACAAAATGGTTAGTGTTTTACTTTTTACAAATGGATATTTAAATGATGTTTTTGATTTCCTTACAGCCTATTTACCGGCATAATGTAAAAAACATGTCCTAAATACTTTAAATTTATTTTAAATTGTCGTTTCATCTTTTCATTACATTCTTTTCGGAATTATATAAGGACTTATTTTGCCAAATGTTCAATGTATACATTTGTATTAGGCGTTAATTAGAATGTAAGTAAATCAGTTTTAAAACAGAACTTGAATTTCCTGCATCTGAAATACATAAAATAAGAAAACAGTGGTAATTATCCTATAGAGATGCTGATGCATCATATGCCCGATTGATTGCGATTGTTTATGGAGGTAAGTAATAACAGCAAACTACCGTCCACGGCCCCTAGCTTAAGAATTGGTTTAAACATATGTATTCCCAAAAGTATATATAATGTACATACAATTAAACATCAAACAAAATATTTTTACATAATGCAAAAGGATGAGAATGAGAGACGCGTCTTATAGCATTAAACATTTGAACATGAAAAATAGGAAAATTTTTAGTTTAGAAACATTCGCAAGTGTTTTCACGCAACATTCAATGCATGCGACACGTCGGGTCTTTTGATTAAAAGCGGCGTTTGTCCCCCTAGTAAAATAATGCGTGCGCCCGAAACAAGAAAACAATTTGCGGAACTTAACTTAATCGAAATTTCAAAAAGGATATGAGGTTTCGAAAAGAAAATGAGAACAGAGATTAATAAGGAAATGCGACGTTCAAAGAACGCACACAATCCAGTCACACTAGCTGGACACCAATAAGGCACCGAACTAAAAAAGGAGAGAGGACATAAGCAACCATCAATCCATATTTAGATTGCATATTCCATCCTGCTACAATAAGGACCGAAAGATTGTGATTTTCCTCGCTATATGCTTATCACATGGACAAACATAATATGTCTTAACTAATTTGTTACTAAGAAGGTATTGAAATATTATTTCATATCATGGAATATCATGGTTATATTGTAAGCTTATTTGAATCAATAGAATCATACGTTGGAGTCTTTACAAAAGGTTGCTGTCGCATGTATGTATGACTGTCAGGATTAAAAGAAAATATGAAAACTGAAGAAAGCTGTTTCATAGATAACCAGTACTACTATCTACACTTTTGCAATGTTTTGATATTACCTTTGTACATGCCAGAGAAGAGGTACCGTGCGATTGACCGTAGAAAAGAATTCCTGATCAATAACAATGAAAATGAAACGCACCGTCCGGGTATTTGGTGTCAATCTATGATGGACTTTTTTGCAATGGTGGAGAAAAAACAAACTCCACTGTTTTGATAATGGAAATAATTTTCATATGAAACGGATAACTAGTAATTTGCCTGGCAGGATATGTATGCATGTGCATACTTACCAGTGCAAGTTAAACATCGGCTTTTTTCTAATATGCAACTATTTAGTGCACGCTGATATCGATATCCCTCACTTGGCCAAGTTAACATTGGTTGTTTTATTCTGTTGCAGACCGTAAATGCAATATATATCTGCAGTTTTACCACAGTATGACAACAAACCCATAGGTCAGCAAATATACATATGCGTGTGCAGAGAAGTCGATCCACCTCTTGAAAAATACTTCTTTTGAAACTTTGTGAAATGCTCCATTGGATTCTTTCTTTTGGAAAAACTGGTCTTAAAGAACAGGTACCTGTAATGATATTTACAGAATAAAATTCAGAGAAAAATGTTCAAATGCTCAACAGAAAGAAAAAAACAATCGAAAGCAGGGGCTGTCAAACAGGACAGGCATGGTCATTTTCCTACACATATATTTATTCCTAGCTTCCACATAATAACTTAATAATAATCTAAACAAGAACTTATTATTTTCCAAACAAATTAAATCATAATGAAATAAAATTGTTTTACAAAAGTCCTCACCATCCAGTTAATTCAAAGTTTATTTCAAAATGAATAATTCAAAATATTTAAGTTGCATACAGAGTTCAAACTCCTTGAGGGTCAAAATTAGGGTCGAGATGAAATCAAAAATATAACTCTGGTAAATATCGAGTATTAATACATTTTTACATTAATGTGAAACTAAGAAAATAATTAATTGACAAATACCATATACATATTAGAATTATTTGTTCCTCTAAGTAAGCAATTCTTAAATGACCTCCAATGCTTCAGTTTTTGTTATTACGACCGCAGAACTAGGAGTAAACGTTGGTATGAAATACAAACATTTAAATATGCCTTTTATTGAAATATATTTTTAATATAATCTTATATTTATAATTACAGAGCAGCAGGAAAATACTTCCATTGTTGTGTTTGGAACTCTTTTTGCTGTGTCTCTAATGGGTAATATCTTACTAGTGACATATTTGGTTCTCCTGAAATTTCGCCAAAGGTACAGTGTAAAGCTTTTGTTTCAATGATTCTGAATATATGAATAACATGAATGACATGTGTGTATATTTTTAAACTACTATACCAATTGAATTACCCAAATAGGTTTTAACTTTCTTTACGGTACTTTTTTGCCAATGAATTAAATGTCGAATATTTGAATGGCAAATCAATATGTTTCACGTACATTATAAAATAAATCAACTAAAATCGAACATTAATTTAATTTCATACCATCATCTTCAAAATGCAAATGCATTACACGGTCTAGCAGTATTTTATATAAAATAAACAACAATATATGTAGGTTAACAAAGACAAATTATTAAATTCATCTTACAGAATCACTAACCATGCAGAGACGAGTGGACAAGTGTACGAAAACTCTGGTAAACTGTCATGTTATTACTGTTACGCTGATAACAAAATCTTATTTGTATGATTTAAAATGTTATTGTCGTCGATGTAATTATTTAATCGTGTACATATCATGCTAGTAAGTTGCATTAATATTTCCTTTTTAACTGTATTGAAATGTAAATATACACAAAATGGCATTCTAGATATTGTTTGTTATTTCAGGCATCGACTTGGAATGTGACAATGTACCACAGTACCCTCATAAAACTGCAAATTGTAATTTGTTTGGTATCGTATGTTTTCTTATGCTGTGATTATCTATGTCCTTATCAATTGCCTCCTCCTTGTCCAAAGAATAACTAGAGAATCATTAAGCTAATCGTAATAAGATTTGACATGTAGGTGGGTCATCGCAGTTGGATGTCATCTAATGATTTGTACGTAAAATGTCAAAGGTGGCATTAACCACTTCAAGCTTGCCCGACAAATCTCTAAAGAATGCTTAGGTGTACAGCTTAGAATATGGTCTGAATGATGGTCATGCTTTATGTTGAGGTCAGTCAACACTTTGGCCCGGAATTCCTAAGATTTGATATTGAGGTCGTCGTGATAAGTAAATGGCCACTACTGATTTTGCGGTCAAAAATCAAAATCATTTTGACCTTGATCACAAAAAGCTTGTCTGAACAAGAACTTGAGAACGTTTTGGCGTTCAGCGGGAGCATACTGTGATGGGTCATTTAACCTGGTCGCCAGTTTTCCTTATCCAAGCAATAACTAGAGAACCTTTAGATTTGCAAAATTGGTGTGGAGGTTGGTTATGACTAGAAGGTGACCCTTTTTTGGGGTCTAGGTCGAAGATAGAAAAGGTCACAATGGCCTTGAGCCCAACAATCTTAAATATTGGTTCAATTTTATGTTACAAAGTTAAATTATTGTTTTGCGGTATGAAATTTAAATACATTATCACGATATAGATTTTAAACTAGATTTAAAGAATGGCCTAGTTACAACATTTTGATATATACTATATGGTTTCTGTATCTTACAGTTCGCCAAAGTTTGTCTGCCAATGAAATCGCTCTATTTTGTTTAAATTTTGCCGAAATATTTACCATACAGTGCTGTAACTCAACTGTATGTATTAAATTTATACGTTAAATGAGCCGATTTAATGGACTCCGCCTATTTACATAATGCACTCGATTTGAATGGGCGGGGCTAACTGTAAGTCGGTTATAGGTTATATACAGAGTTTTAAGAAACTAATTTTCTCGCTTCACTTCGTTCGCTCGAAAATTAATTTCTTAAAACTCTGTATATAACCTATAACCTATACATGTGTGTCACACATATTTCAAAATCTTTAAATACATACCGGTAAAACAATTTGAAGTAATGGCAATATCGTTTAAAATATTTAGACATTTTTCATAGGAAAACAGTTTGCAGTCTGCTTTTCTCCAATCGGGATATACACCAACATTATCTTAATTGTTTCAATTTCTGATTTTTTATCCCGGCTTTTTCTAGATCGGGACGGTAGCTGATAATCCCGGAGTATTGAATTCTGGAATTTTTTTTTTGTTGCACATGACTTCAAATAAATATGTCTATAATACAATACAGCAAAGCACAGTCTTTTAAGTTCTTTGTCATTTTCCAATCTTAATTGTCAATATATTATACGATTATAGCTGTTTATGTTTGTAATATTTTGAACGTTCTAAAAACAGTGACATCTTATCCCTCAAGGACAAAACATAATCATATAATACCAAAACTTATTTTCGTATGGCTTAAATTGTCGCAAAATCTTGGCCTGTACCTAGTACTTTCAGTTCCATGTCAAGTGTCTGTCAATAAGATCACTGTACATTGTATGTATCAACAATGTTTGATATGTCCGCATCAACATTAAACATCCTTTTACTTTTAGCAGTAGCTGTTTTGGATAAGGATTAACTTTTAGTAAATGTCTAGTGCTCAACCAAATTTTGTCTTGGCCATTGCCCACATTGTTATTACATTTGTCCATGCAATTCACTTCTGTTTCATTCTTATCTTAATTAATATCAGTCAATTGTCCAAAGACAACATTTATATAATCTGCTTCTTTACAGGTTGGAGCTGCTTTCTATTCGTTTTCTAATTCCTTCCTCACTGATATCCATCCCTTTATTTCGATTTCTTTTTCTAAATGACTTCGTTGTTCAGACTCTTTTGTAATGTCTCATATTTATAGAAATTTTGGATTCTATGCGTTATTCTGACCGAATATAAAGATTTTTCTTTTCTAAAGCGACATTCATTGTTAAAACAATCAATACGTGAATATGTTGTTTCTCTACTACGATTAAATCCTTTCTCTTCAAACACAAAACTATGGATTTTCATTGTTCCTCTTATAAGTTTGATACTTTATTCCTCTATTCTTTTGACTGATTCCCTGTAATCCTCTTAATTGGCTATGACATATTTTATCGAACTATCAGATTTTGAAGCACATGCGAAGAATTTAGCCATGTCTTGAATGATAACTCCTTTCTACACAGGATTGTCTCCTTTCCGCTTTGTTGTAGCTTCGATTTTATCACAGGTTCCTTTTCCATGACCTGTTTCGAAAAACTGTCATGACGACTTTATGTTTTTAGACATAATTTGTTCATGTAGTGGAATATGGTCTTGTCTAGGTCCTGACTGGTAGGAGAATCAGTCCAAAAATGAATAGCCTCAAGATTGTCAACATTAAACCTTTGTTAACTCGATGACCTTATCTGTGATTAAAGTTACTAATGATGCATTAGAACCACCGAAACAAAAACACACTTTTATGTTCAAGACCGTCTGAATCATTTTTTCTATATACTACTGTCAATGGAATTATTGTGTCTTTCCTGTTTCTGTTTTAACGCTATTCTATTTAGCTTTTCCTTGATTGAGTTTCCTTCTCATATGATTTATTATCGTGTTCTATTGTTTTGCATTCGTTTCCTCCTCCTTGATTGTTGACTACTTTCAGGAACATTAAAATTCATTTTAAAAGTCACTGGACTCGTGACGATTGCTGTTGTGCTGCTTACACCATTGCAATCTTCCGTTGTGCTTACACTACAATCATCAACCTGAGATTAAAATTGTTTCTTTACTTTAGCGAGTTTTCTGTCTTCCTGTATGTTTAACAGTGTTGTATGTTAAGTTGGCGCTTGTTTTGTTGTTTCTCTTCTGTAAATTTAGATATAGGTGGTGTGTATACCCTAACTTTTTCTCTCTCTTGTTTAGCCATTCTTCTCCCAGCAAAGCCTTCTTTCTTTCTCGATATTTTTTGATTCGCTTTGCCATTCTGAAATGCTAAATAAAAATATACTGACTTGATTATCAAGAAGAAATACATGTTTAGAGTGGCGGCGGGCCGAGTTGTTAATGCTCCGGTCTAGTAATCTAAGGATTGTGTTCAAACCCTATCAGGGGCAAGCCGTTGTTTCCTTGAGCAAGAAACTTTACATTCATTGCCAAGCACTGGTTGGTTCCAGGAACGGATTCGTATGTTTTTCAATAACCTTATACTAGTAGCTTGCAACATAATCGAACTAAAATAAATTTGTATAGACTAAACTAAATACATGTTTTCTATTTTGTTCTTGAGCAAAACAAACACATTTTACCCACAATATGTTCCTTTTTTCAATAAATATAATTGCAACATAAGAACGGAGTAGAGTTTATAAGATCGTATTTCATTTAAACATTTAAGGGTTTCAATACTGGGACAACTTACTATTAAAAATGAACTCAGTATGTTTTTATGAATGTATAAATATTATTTTCAGCATCAACAAGCGACACTAGGGTAACATCAAGCGAGTATGATGACCTTGGAGACGCTCAAGGTATTTGTAACTTAAACTTACAAATATGATAACTTACGTAGAGATTTAATTGTTTATAATAAAAAACAATTGTCTCAAAGAAATCAATATTATTCTGCATTGTTAATTGATTTGATGTTAATACTTTGATGGTTATTTGGTTTATGTTTTGTCTGTTTACAGTTATAGAGCAGGAATATGGCGATATCCACCCAGACAATTAACTGACATGACTGATTGATAACACTGATTGATAACACGTGAAGTAAAATATAATTTCTACTAACCATACAGAACGATGTATTCTGCTGTGATGAAAGTCTTCTTATGCATTTGATATTTTGATAAGTGTATCATAACTCAAAATTAAACTATCCGTCAGCATGTTGTGAAAAGACATCAATTTTGCTCCAATTATTCAAATCTTGTTAAAGTTTGTTATACGAGTATACATGTACCATTAAAGCAGCACGCCTCAAGATTCATTCCACTTTTCAAGAAAATTTTGAAAATGTATTTAAAGGTAAAATATTGTAAAGTGAACTAAGAAATTTAATTTTCGCATTACGAACAGCACTTACAACACCTGTAAATTGTCATAAAGAGGTCAAAATATGCAAAAATAGTCCTTACTTCGTTAGTAACGCAGAAGACATATGATGAAAAATACTTCAAAATCAGTCATTTATTGCATACAGCATGTAAACTATTTCTTGAATTGTGAATATTTTTACTATCCTTAAAATATATTTCTTTTCTCAAGGTTGATTTTCTTGAAATATTTTGGCTTATCTGGAGGCTTGCAGCTTTAAGTATAATTTGCTGTGTTTGATGCATTCTTTATTTTAAACTCTCCCTTTCCTTATGATTATCGAAAGCCACTGGCTTCATGTGACATATAAGATGTTAACATTGTTGATACATTGACTTACCAATTTTATTTGCAATCTTATGTGTTATTTCCGGAGTCATTATAAAATCTGTCCTTTTTTTAATCTTATCTTTATAGTTTATATGTCTTTTTCAAAGGAAAAAAAAACAGCATTCTATTTATTGTCCATTAAATTTGGTGGAAACAGAATATAATTTCTTATTTATATGCCCAAAATATCACAAGTTACGTAGAATTTTTTTTAAACAATATTTTTGTAGATGGCCTATAGTGCCGAAATTCGAAACACGTATGACAAGCACAAATATCATCAAAACAATAAGTAATCTGTCAAGTTATCTGTATTATGCATTTAAAGAAAGGACATAACTAAGGTTTTAGCCTTTTAGTGTCCATAAACACTCTTTTTTATCCTTATGCGGACTGGAAATAGCGAATTTACTATGACAACAAATGCTTAGTACATTTGACGGTTATGTCATCTTAGAAATATTAGTAATTGCCGTTTAATGGGTAGATAATTATATAAACGTTAACAAATATCTTTTTACTTTGTTTAAGTATATTTGTGTCTCATATGTATAAGTACTTATGCAACATTTGTCAACTTGAATTAAAAAAGTAACATTTCATACCTGGTTCCTTTGTTTATACTTATCTACAATACTTCTCGGGTAACTCACTGTAACTTATAACACTTTACACAACACAATATCTGAATTGTATGACTATAAATTGTATGTATACAAATTTTACTTTTAAAGCAGCACGCCTCCATATTCATTTTAATTTTCATAAAAAAAATTTAATTTTAGAAATGTATTTAAAAGTAAAATATTGTGAGGTAAATTAACAAATAAAGTATTTTACATATTGCAATCGGCACTTACAATCAAAGAAAATGACCAAAAAGTGGTCAAATATGCAAAATAAGCCCATACTGCGTAAGTAACGCAATAGAAATATGGTGATAAAATACTGCAAAATCAGTCTTAAACTGCACATAACATGTAAAATTTAACTTGGATCTTGAGTGTTTTTATTTTCATAAAATGTTAGTACATTTTTCTTAATATTAATTTTCTTGAAATATTTTGGCTCATCTGGAGGCGTGCAGTTTTAATAAGATATATTTTATGTTATATGTAACGTTATTTATTATATACTTTTAAATAAAATATTGAGAAATATTGATGAAATAAAATGCGTATTTTCATTTTCCGTATTTTCACTGTAAAAAAAATATTTTTCATTGCAGTGAAACATATTTTCTGTATTTTCACTGGTGTCTTGCCGGACTACTTTCTTTTAAATTCTGCCAGTACTCAAAATTTAAGGGAAAGTCTTTCAAATTTTAATGTCCAGAAAGAGAAAAATGTATATAATAAACAGAAAATTCAAGTTTTTTTCTATAAATACATGATTTTTTTTTGGCATGAAAATTACCATATTTCACTCGTGGTTACCGCCACTCATGAAATATTTATTTTCATACCACTCGATGAAAATAAATCATGTATTTATAGAAAAACTTGAATATCCTCTATTAAATATGGTCAAGACATACAGTATACATAAAAGTTACACAAATAACTACACATTTAGTCTTTAAATGATAAATAATCAGCAAGTAGCAAACTTTATGACAATTTAAACTAACAAATAAAATAAATCCAAGGAAGCAGCAATATTTTTAAGGGTTAAATTTCTCAATTTATATACTTCCGTTAAAAACTTTGCATTTTTTACAATAATAGTTCTACGATGTGATGACAAAATATTAATGAACTTTTGGACTGATGGCCAAGCATTATTTACAAAGTGTTTCTGTCGTATATCATAATATTTATTACAGCGTAATACAAAAATGGTTTTCAGATTCAACTGATTGTGATGAACAAAGTTTACATGTACGAATTTGTCTTTCAATGCCAGTATATCTATCTACTTCAATTTCAAGATTATGTGCTTATCTGCTAAATTTAGCGTATAGCTTTCTTTGTTTATTATTAGTTAATATGACTTTAATATTTTTCATAACAAAACATAACTTTAAATTGTTTAAAGTATTCAAGTTTAGCTCCATTGTGAATCTCCATTTTCCAGTTTGGGATGTACTGATCTCGTAATCTTTGTTTCAAAATACAAAAATAGTTACAGAAAGAGTCAAAATTTAACCATATATCACTGAAACCTAGACTATCAAGTAACGTTTTAATTTTATTAATAATTATTAATTCAATAATTTACGTTCTGGGAAAAACATTGCTCTCTAAAAAAAATTACATAGGCATGTGTTGATTACTCATTATTTATATCTGTCTTTTTCACTTAAACTGACAAACGACCCAATTCGCCTAATACCGTTAATTTTGAAGATTGTGTTCGGACCCCAAGAATATGTTTAGAAAAGTTTATATGTAGTTTATCTATTTCTTTATATTCATCAATGCCCCAAATCTCCGAGGCGTGCGATAAGATACGTAGAACAATCGCGTCAAAAAGTGAAAGTTTTGTTGTAATATCAAGCTTTACTCTAGTAAATAATGACAAGAGGCTATCATATGCTTTGAAAGCTTGGTCAGAGAGCACCTTAACAGCATTTTCATATTCCCTGTGTTTTTGTTTGTTTGTTTTGTTTTGGGTTTTACGTCACATCGACACAGTATAGGTCATATTCCCTGTGTCAACAAAGTGTACGCCTAAATAACAAAATTTTTCTACAATCTCTAATTTCTCACCATTTATAAACCATTCAAAATAATTAGGTTTTTTGTTTGTTTGTTTTTTTATTTCAAAAATACAAACTTTGGACTTTTTGGAGTGTTGATAAATACAATCAAGTTTGACTTGCAAACTGTCTGCATTCGTCGTTAATAAAACAATGTCATCAGCAGAAATCAACATATACATTGATAACTGGTTCAAATCACCCTCAGATAAATTATTTAAGTCTAAACAATTATTAATATCATTGAGGAACAAAATAAAGAATAAAGGTGAGAGTGGTTCCCTTTGTTTTTAAACCAATACTTACATCACAAAAATCGGACATATTCATGTTCGAAGACAATTTAACGCATGCTTTAACATTTGCATAAATCGATTTAATCATTGTAATGATTTTACAGCTAATATTAGATGATATTATTTAATCCACAAAGCTTCACGAAAGCCTTTTCATAGTCTATAAAACGCAAAATAATTAAGATTTGTTCAATAAAATATTTTGAATCAATGTATGTTATAAAATATACAATCACTTATACTATGTTATCTCTGAAGCCAAAATGTGTATCGCTTAAGACATCATTAGATTCACACCATTTGTTAATTCTATTTCGAAGAATGATAGAAAATGATTTTGCCGTAACATTTATTAACGTGATTCCCCTATAATTGCTAGGATAAGCTTCATCGCCCTTTATAAAAATAGGAATTATTACACCTTTACTGCATGCACCGGGGTATATACCTTAAAAACTAAAAAATTATTAAAGATACGAGGGGTGTCCCAGAATTACGTGGACTTTTGCTATAACTTTTTTATTTTTAATGCATTTTTTAGCAAATTTGTACACAATACCTTTAACATATCCTTAATGAATATGTCCATTATTTTTAAATTACTAACATTGCTTCTCTATATTTTACGTCGCTATAGTAACGCAGTATGCGCAGGGCGGGGCTGTCCAATATTTTGTATTAATAAGTTGTCTTTTCTTTCGTAAATCTTGCGTATTTATACGTAAAAAATGGCGCGACGTCGTAAGCATATGCAGTGATGTCATATGAACGTTCGTTTGAAATTTTGACGTTATAGCTGTTTCCGTTATTGTTTAGCAGCGGAAAACTGACAACCGTTGCTCTTGGATATTTAACAAAAAATGACGTCCACGGATTACGCGGAACATCGGACTATCATCAAGTTTTGTGTTAATCTTGGAAAGACGCCAACACAGACGCAGGAAATGTTGGAGACTGCAAAAGTGAGACCTCCTGTTTGTCGATCACTCGTTTTCAAGTGGCATAAGCGTTTTCGAGACGGCCG